TGCAATGCTGGGACTTGCCCGAATTATATAATCTTCCGCGGATTTTCAGATAAGAATTCTGAGATTGAATCTCCGTCGCAAGAAAATTTAAATTCCCTTTGCCTTTAATCATATCCAGAAGCATGCCTTCAGACTTCAAGAAGAGAGATATATTTGAAATTAAATAATAGAAATATAATTTATAATATCTCTTTCGCGAAATCCAATATCCCTTTCGAGAATAAGATCGCGATCTTTCGCGGAAGATCTTTTAAAATCAATCTCAACCTTTTGACAAAATGATTTCTCATAGAATTTTCGGGCGATGACCATATCTTCAAAAATCATATAGAAAATGATATTCATTTCATCGATAATATATTCGATATTTAAAAGATATATAGATAATATGATGAATAAGATAAATTTTTCTCTAAGAATTCCAATGGATAGATTTATCATCATTTCTTAGATTTCTCGTAGATTTTTCGAAGAATATATTTACTTATCTATTTATAGAATATGTAAATATAGATTATCTAAGAGCAAGAAATTAGTTTAGCAATCCAATAAATTAGATAAAGAATATCAGATCATTTTAATAAATGAATTGATCGATCATAAGAAATGATCAATTTATGATATCCCTTTCACGATATATAGAAATACTTATATTCTTTCATAATTTCTTAAGATCATATATGATCGATATAAATGAAATCCATCATATTTTCTGCTAATCGTATTTCTCCCAGAATATATTTTCAATATATTCAAATGAGAATTCAATATGAGAGAAAGGAAAATTCATTTTCAAAAATGAATTTAGATAATTAACGATTGAATATCAACTCCAAAATAAGGTTCTCTTTTTAAGAGGATTCGTCGAAGACGTATTTTATTTCATATTATCTTTCTGGATTTATTCGGAGAGAATTTCTAATACCGCATCTTTTGGACCAATAAAGGAGATATAGAATATTTTTCATATTTCATCTTGTCTATTCCAAATTTTGTATCGCAAGTCCAATGATTACAGTAGAATTCCATCATACTCTCGTTTTTTTGGCGGAGTCGTGGGACGTCGTGGGCATTGTTCTGCTATATGATTCCGATTTCAGGTCCATAATCGGGTCCGTAAACCCAAGCGCCCATCCAAATCCTGAACGTGCAGATCAACGTAATTCGATTAGATCAAATTCCTGGACGCAGACGTCTTCACTGCAACTTAAAAAGACCGCATGCAAACGTGAGGTAGACGGGCAGGAATGCAACTTCCTTGTTAGGTAGATTTCATGCCTAATGAATATGTTCCGCCTTTTGTACTACTCATAAATCATAACATTGGTAGGTTTATTCATATTCCCCTGACCACAACGCCCTTGGAGCCGCTTAGTACACATCTCTCGCCGCAGTGCTGAGAACTCCGGCTGTTGTACAGGGTCTGGCCCTGGCAAAAAGGCCCCAATGAAAAATGGACCAAATAGGACTCACACTCTCACAGCCCTGAACTTTCAATCCTTAAATCCGAAGCCCCAAGATCAGTTGCTGGGACCGTTTTTGCACTGTAGGTGCCATATGGCCCAAGAGCTTCTCTCAATAAATGGAACCTGCTTTGGGGTATCATTTTACGGCACCTAGTAAGCACGTAGTGTTTTGAAGTAACGAAGTGGGACCTGGTCACAGTCCATAGACTAACTGCTGATGGAAGATTTGAACTGGGATAGTGCAATTTGTCGTGCCATCGTCGCGTAAGTTGATGCAAGAACCCTAAACCCAAAGCTCTCAAGGATCTTCCAGCAGCAATATTCCTACCTACTGGGCCGGCTAGCTAACACAGGTGTGAGACAGCCGTCCTGACTACCCGGGGGGGCTATAAGCAGTTTACATCCAGACATGTGAGCAATCAGGGTGTAAAGTTCTTCTTCTTCTACGTGCTAAAACTGCAATCGTAACATTGCCCCCCCGGTTCCTAACCTACGTGAGCTGTAGTCTACACTCCTAATATCCCCCTTAATCACCACTACAGTAGGAACCCTACATAGTCCCCTATATAACCCCCTTCAAGGAGTTTAGACTATGGCACACATGCCTACTTCAGCCGCATGCGCTTCTCCCACGCCTCGAGGTAGCGCCGTACTTCTGACCTGGGAAATTGGGGCAAAACATTGAAGACTCCGAGACATAGGGGTTTCCCAAGGTTAGGGGTACCCTTCTGCGGGTCCAAATCATAAGGGTGATAGTATTTTGGGGTCTATAGTGGGAACCCCCTTGTTTGGGAAACTATCACATCTCTGCAAAACATGCCTTTCCATAAAGTGAGCGGTCTAGGGCACCCATGAAAAACGGACAGATGTGGTAGTTCCCCCAAACAGGGGGACCTGAATATCTTCTCCCAAACACTATAATCCTTATAATTGGGAGAGGCAAAATGGCACCCCTAATTGTTGGGAAACCTCCATGCTGAATCTTCAACTGAATAGTTTTTTTTTTTGGGTGGTTGAACCTAGTAAGATAATTTTCCTTATGTAAATACTATGCCCAAAAGGAGGATATAATCTTACTCTATATTGGGTACCATAATATTCCCAAATAAAGTACTACACAACTGGTTTTGTCTTCTTCAACAGCCTTAGAACTGCTGAGTAAGCACCTTACCGCAAGCAATGAATATTTCCCTTGCTCTGGTATTTGATTACAGAGGTTTGCCAAAATTAAGGGTACCTTTGTTGGGGCCCCCATAAGAAGGATTGTGCTATCTTAGGGTCTATGTTAGGGTCCCCCTAATTTGAAAAACTTCTACGTATATTTCATCATCTTACCTGCAACTGTTGTAGCGGCTTACTTTGTTGAGCCCTCCGTAGCCATCATGACCCCTGCTACATTAAGGGCAAGAGCAGCACTAGCAAAGGTCTGTGGTTGAATAAGATGCCGCCTCTGGCCAGAGATGAGCATATGAATGCCATGGGTTTAGGATTTAGGGTTTAGGGATTCCTTGAATCTAGGGTATAGAGTATAGAGGATTTGTCTAATGAGCCTTCAATACAGGGCGTGATCTGTTGACACAACCCTAGGTAGCACTGCCCTCCTTCGAGAAACCAGGTCTTTCTTCAAAGCAGCTCAAATTTCTGTGAAAACGGGTTCTGAGGGTTGGCAGAGATCTGGCTGTTGCTATAATTAGGCGGACCCCAATAGAGACCCCGACATGCTAATCCTTGTTATAAGGACACCCTGACAAGGAGCCCTTCATTTCGGAAAATCCCAGAATCCCTAAACTCCCTAAACTAAACCCTAACCCGCTAGAGTTTGGGCTACAGGATACGTGGAACAGGCATCTTAAGCCAGGTATTACCTGGCTTCAGTTGCCCAAGCCTTAAATACTCATGGGCTTCCGTACTAACCCTTACCCTTCCTAGGCTCCCGAGGTTCCCCCCTTTGGAGAGCCAATTAAAGGAGAGTCGGGGAGCTAGCAGCTCAGTTGAGGCACCCGTTAACTACCCTAAACCTACGCACTACGCACAACACCTTAAACTTTAAACCCCTAAACCCTACACCCCACATCGGATTCCATTTCTGTCTGCGGCAGGTAGGTCTCAGTTCTCCCCTGGAGACAACTAAAGAGCTTAAGGTCTGACATCTTTCCGGTTTAGATTTTAGGGAATTATCCTTCCTCTTAATGAGTTTTTGTTAGGTTTGTGGAAATTGATTTCTTCGTGCTTTACATCTAACTATTTTGAGATTGGGACAGAAGTTCGAATTATCCTTCCCCTCAATCAGTGTTTGTTGGATCTAGGAATGTAGGCTGATTGTGTTGTTTAGACTTTGCTGTTTCGATTCTCGGGTAGAAGTTCGAATTATGCTTCCCCTTAAGGAATTTTTTGTGTTCTATGCATATTGACCTCTTTTGCGGCTGAGACCTTATGATGTTGACTTGGGGGTACTAGTCCGCATTGTCCTGCCCCTAATTACTGAGACGCCCCCACCCGCGAACGTTCCTTCTAAATTCAATGGTATATGGGTGACACTGTCTATTGGTAGGAGGGTGGCGGCGTATGTATTGCTATGGGGAAAGAAAATGAGCCTTTCGAGCGTCCTGTGCAATCATAACTTATAACAATCATATACATTGTGCGCTTGTCGTCTAAAGTGCTTTCTTTGCTCATCTATGTCTGCCACTAATGACATATATTTCCTTAATTGATGCTGCATCCTTCCTCACATCACAAGGGACGTGACCCAGCAATCTTGGCAATGCTTGAAGCAGACCATCCTAGCTCTTGACCCATCATGTGGGTCCGAATCTGCAGGAGAACAGAAAGGAGCTTAAACTCCAACCTCCCCAAATCTTTTGGTACTTCTGACCTACGCCCGCAAAAGAAGCCGGTTGTAGGGGGTACAGTTTTGCGGAGTACGAGTACTATGTAAAGAACCTGGCAAATTCTCAGGCCTTTGCTCTGCGAAATTTTCTTGCATCCAGACAGATTCGGGCCCCAAGAAATTGCAATCGAATTTCTAAGCACATGGAGTCTTTGACTCTTGATGCTCTGGGCTCATGCCGCGGGACTGTGAAGCAATCATGCTGGCTAATTGTCCTCCCTGTAGAATGATGGAATACATGCATACTTCCTGACTGTGCCAAGGCACAAATGGAATGACATCGGCACAACACATTGTAAGCCTGAAGTCTTTCTACCTTTTGCTTACGCCGCTGTTCCCAACCGTTCATAGACGGTAAAATCTAATCCCGAAAGCTCTGTATCTTGACTTGTGACTCCTTTGACAAGACTCCTGTGTAAGACATGATAAGCGGATGACATTCTTACTCCTAGTGCTTTTAGGTAACCCTAAGCCCTAAATAGTAGTTTCCATTTTCTTTTCATTATCCCCATATAACCCCTCCCATACTATCCCCCCATATAACCCATTATAAGCTTTATATTGTAGTTTCCCTAAATAAGGGGACGTCAATATAGACCCCAAATTTTGGGAAACACCCATATCGCTCTGACGACCACCACACGTCACAGTCCTTCGTAGTCATCCTGAGCCTCTCTTCCTTGCTTCAGTGGAGCCTTGGACTGCAAATCCTCAGTGGCACTTGGGGTTCCCTCAACTTTAGTTTACATGATTGACTCCAAGACATGGCTTTGATAAAATGATCTGGGGGAGGTGTTTCTTCAGGATTTTGTTGGGATTGAAGTTCGTGCTTCATTCAAGGATCGTGCAAATATGGTGGAAGCCGTGGTCCGTTCACGCACACCAATGTTGACATGGCCTTGCCCTTTGCGCCCATCTGCTATAAGAGCTACTTCCATGCTGATCCATTCACCGGGTGCCCCGCATCTTGCGACCCCCAAAAACGACAGGATATGGATAGATGCTACATTTCAGAGACCACAGGATGGCTGCACCTCTCATGTTTGCTACTTCAACACCACTCTTTCTTTCAAATGCCCAGTGCCACCTACGAATTGTTCCTAAACCCTACACCCCACAGCGTATGCAAGGTCAACCCCTTCTGAAGCCTTGGGACCTTGGGATGCACATGTAACCTCATATAATCCACTTTCCATTTCATTTGCCATTCGATTTAGTGCCCGCCACACTCCGAGCACGCTCGAGCTGCGTTCAATTCAAATTTCCATTTGATTCTCCAGTATTGGGCATAATATCCCTATATAATCCATCTAAACCCTAAATACTAGTTTCCATTTTCGCTTACATCATCCCAATATGTCCCCTATATATCCCCTATGTCCTTTCACAATCTGCAGACCTGTGAAGCCCTACAGCGAATCATACCTGAACGTTTGTTGGCAAGGAGCTGGAATGTGGATGGAGTTGAGGAATGGCAGCCTGTATGTATATATCTATATATGTATAGAGGGGTATTTAAGGAGATATCTGGATGTTTATATGTATGTATATATGTATATAAAATGCACAGAAATGCAAAGATATTGCCGCTAGTACCTGCGACGAGGGCTGCAATGCTCCCTGGAACTCGCGACTGTTACCAAACAGCAGCAGCTGTGCATAGGCAGGCCTAGAGAATACGATAAGGTTTAGGGTTTGGGTTTTGGGGTTTAGGTTTTTAGGCTCTTAGGGTCTAGGGTATGTATGTTTCTGCACAGTCTGTGCTGCTTGAATGGAGCGGAGTGTACGGTTGCTAGCCTGGGGAAAGGTTTCCGTCCAGTTGCAAGTCAAGCTGTTTCAGTCATGGTGGGGCTTGACTTTACGGGTCGTCGAATGGGACTTGCCCCACCAAAGTTGCATCCTCCTCGCGTTTTGGAACAGTGCAAGGGGCAAGGGAGAGGGTCAGGGTCCATCCAATCGTAGCACCCTCTTCAGAAAAAGGGCAGGGGGGGTTCAGGGGGTCCATCACCGAAAAATAGCACTCTATTAAAATTCTGGGAAGAATTTGAAATTGCGAGAACAATCTCCACCTAATGGTGAGAACAATCTCGACCGAACGCGGCAGCCTCCTTGCGTTTCCGGACGTTTTGGGAAGGCTGAGAGGGAAGGGAGGGAGGCAATCTCAACAAATAGTGGTGACCTCCTTGCGTTCCCGGACGCTTTTTTTGTCAAAGCTTGAGTCTCCTTCAAACATCCCCAGAAAGGTGTTCCCGCGCTGCAAACCACCGCCCATCAGCTCCGCATAACCTTTGTGCTCATCTACTAGTATACCTCCTTCATTTGACTTCTTTGAGTTTCTCAAAATATCCCCATAATCGCTAGGATCCCTAAGGGTGCCCTTCTTGAGAAACTCCCATACGGATCCCAAAGCTGGAACCCCTAGGTTCTGGAAACCCCATCTGATAGTTTCCTTAAATAGAGGGACCCCAATACAGACCCCGATATGCTACAGTCCTTGTTATGGGAACACCCTAAACGACGTCCTAGTTCTTAGGAAGCTCCATCTACCGAACTCTTGAGCTGAAGCAACTCCTCACCACGCGGAAGTAGCAAATCTCGCTCCATTGGTGCAGCGCGCTGCACTTTGCGTAAGGAGACCTGTTCAGCTTTAGGGCATCCAGTTTAGGGTGCAGGCTTCCGACTTAAGGGTTTTAGGGTTTAGGGTTTCGGGTCAAGATGCACTTCACGCCCAACAGACCCGTAGACAAGGACCTCTTGAGAATTCGCCGCAGGTGCTCTCGACAATTTAACGGTTTTCTGGGATGCTTGGCGCAGATTGAGAAGGTATTCAATCCGGATGGTTTGAACCCCAAGCCCTAAACCCTAAACCCTAAACCCTAAGCCCTAAACCTTAAACTCTAGACCCAAGGGCAAAGGCCCGTGGGTTGCAACCGTAACCCCAAAGCCGTAGTTTCTATTTTCTTTTCCATTATCCCGATATGGGGGTTTCCCAAACTTAGGGGTACCTTTTTAGGGGTCCCTATAGTAAGGATTATAGTATTTTGGAGTCTATATTAGGGTCCTCCTGTTTAGGGAAACTACCATATAACCCCAATATATCTACTTCTGGGAAGGCTTGTAGGTTGCATTGGCTCATTCGCCTCAAGGTTTCTGTTGGAAGGCGGGCCAGAAGTTGGTGGCAAAGCTGTTGCTGTTGCTGTTGCCCCTACTCCTCTCTAGGGTTTAGGGGTTTAGGGTTTAAGGGTTTAGGTGTTAGGGAGTTTAAGTTTCGGGTGTAGGCTTTCTACAATGATGTCTACAGCACTGCACCAGAAGCCGACGTTGTGCAAACCAGACGATAACAAAAACATTGACCTGGGGGTTTTCGTAGACCCTACAATACGATAGCCCTTACAATAAGACTTTTCCAAAACCCTAGTTCTTGGGAAGCCTTCCGGTCTGTACGTATGTATGTATGTATGCATGCATGTGCACAGGTATCTAACGATGTATGTATACATTTACATATATAAAAGGATCAACGGACCGCACCTGTTTCCAGTTGTGGCCGTTGCAGCTGCGGCAGTTGGAAGGTAGCTGGCGATCGAGCACCACCTCCAAGCAAGTTTCGGTTGTCGGTTGGTCACTGCCCCAGCTCCGTAATCTATGGTGTGGGGTTTAGGGCGTGTGAAAAGGTATCGCTATAGGGATTATACAGGGATTAATGTAATGACAAATACACACTATTGTCAATCCCACCAGTGTCACCGTCTATATACTGAGGGAAGAAAGAGGACTTATCAAATGGTTACTGAGGGCGACAGTATCCAAGGTGTTGGGTTCGAAGGAAAATGCTGCCTGATTGCTGTTATGACTACCCGTGTTGCCCCGCCTATCATCCTCTCCGCATCTTGCCACTATGCCCACGAGTGCTAGTCTGTAAGGATTAATGTAGATTATGTACTGTAGAAGCCTGAGTCACTACATGTGTTCTTGTGTTAGATTAATTGCAAACTTCTGGTATATCAGCTCCTAAACATTAAAGCCTAAACACTAAACAGTAGTTTCCACTGCTCCTATTGATGGAGCTGGAGGTTTAAAGAGCCCAAAAGCTACAAAAAACAACACGGCACGACAGAAATCTAGCGGCCAGCGGCCCTGGAGACGGCGACTACGCTCGTCAAGGGAGGGACTCAGGAACTATCCAGCGTCTCCTTTCCTTGGAACTGCACGCTACTCACTGTGTGTCAGAAAGACCAGACAAGACAGCTGAACTTGACGGCGCTACAAGCAGGTGCAAGCTGGAGGAAGAATGCTGAAGGCAACGGGATCGCAAGTCCAGGTGAGAGCGGCCGGACCCAGCGGCGTGGCAAGGCTGCAGGAGGAGGGGGCGGGGAAACAAGGGAATGACATGGGCTGACAAGAGCAAGCTGATAAGGCTCACGGCGCCCCGGCCTGGGCCGAGGCTTCTGCTCTGCGGCGCAAGGCTGCTCGAGCGTGGTGGCTGCGGAGCAGCACAGACAACTCCTGGAGGAGGTCGGCATGCACAAGCCCTGCATCCGAGCCAACGCGCGCCGCGACAGCACGAGAGAGGAGCTGGAGAGTTTTGGCAGCAGTTGGGTCCCAAGCTCCCGTGGACTCAGCAACGAGCTGCAAGAAACGCACGCCCTGGGCAGCGCAAGTTTGGGCCGTGTTCTGGTGCGCGCTCTTCACTGCTGCATACTGGGAGGCGGCTGCCGCCGCCTGCTGACTTGCCTGTGCAAGGGGCTCCTGCCGCTGAGGGGCCGTGACGGACAGGTCAATTGCAGCAGGGCTCCCGGACAGAGAGGGCAAGAAAATATCAGCAGGCCGGCGCTGGGCGAGGCGAGCGTCGTCAGGCCGCTGTGGGAGAAGGAGGCCTGGCTTCTCGACTTCCGGCTGGAGGCCGGCGCGATCAGCCCATGAGGCCAGCAAGTCACGCAAGGCATTGTGCCGCTGTGTGCGCTCACCGCCCGCAGCGCAGGTGCCGGCATGCAAGGAAAATCTGTCCATGATGCCATCGCATTTGGGGCACCAGGTGTCGGCCGGGGCGTCGGCAACGCCCAGGCGGTGGCGCAGCTCCGCCACAAAAGCAGCACCCTCCATGCGGGTTTTGCCACCCGGAACCGCGGCAAGCCACGCCCGCGCACCCTGCTCAGCCTCAGACCGCAAGAGGGCACGGGCAGTGATGGAGGACTCAGACAAATGACGGTTCCAGCTGGCGGTGTCAGAGAGGGTTGTCAACGCTTTCTGCTTCATGCCAAGGGCATGGTGCGTGGCCAAGGGCTGTTCGAGGAGTGCGCCGAAGGAAGTGGCAGCTAGGAGAACGACAGGCTCAGAGGTAGTTTCCATCTTCCTTTCCATTATCCCTATATAACCCCAACATCATATCACATTACTTACGGGGTAGGAGACTCTCACTTAATGTTGTTGTCCCTGTTATGCTGCCTCAAGACTTCCGACCGGAAGGATGGTCAGACCGCATAAGCCATTATAGGGATAATGGGTTTCATAAGCATTTTATAGGGTTTTTATAGGGACTATATAGGGCTATAAGGGGTAACATGGGGGTTATACAGGAATAATGGAAATGAAAATGGAAACTACTATATCATAATGGGTCTAGGGTTAATATATTGGGGTTCTATAAGGATAATGGTAAAGCAAATGGAACCTACCCGTGGAAATTAGGGTTTAGGGTTTTCACTGTTCCCAACAGCTGTGCCGCCATGTTGTTCTAGCCTCCCTGGATTCTGGATCTTCAGGGGGATGGGGGCTTTAAAAGCCAATGCTTTATGTGAGCCATAGTCTAAACTCCTTGTATCCCCCTTAATAAGCCCTATACTATCCCCCTATATAATCCCCTATATAACCCCCTTTACGGAGTTTAGATTCTAGCCTATGTGTGCACTCCCCAGCTGTCAAGCACTTAGGAGTAGCACGGTGTCTTGAGTGTGCCCAGCCGAAAAGGCCTCACTTAAACCCAGACCCCCAAAAGGATCTAAAAATTAGATCCCCTAGAACCATAGGGGGAATTATACAAGGATTATATTATATAAGGGGATATAATGGGTCTATATAGGGCATCTAATTTTTAGATCCTCCCAGGGGTCTGGGAACTCTCAGCTGCTGACCCCAAGTTAAACATCCCTACAAGTAGAGCCTATCGTTCGAAGCCGGCGAAATTCGGCCTGAGTCCTCAAGAGGGAACCCTTTCGCACGTTCGATACTAACCCCATGGATTTCTTAGCCCATGTTACCCTAGGAAGAAAAAGGATCCTTTATATATATATATATACATATATATATATACACATATAAGGAATCCCATACCCCAAAAAGCATAAAGGATCCCTAACATTGATTCAGATTTATTTGTCCGTGTTTGGCAGGACCTCCTTCAGCAGGTTTTGTGGGGGTTCATGTTAGGAGGAGAGAAAGACAAAACCAACAACGCACTGCGTGCTACCTGGGGGATTGTCAAAATTATGGTCCCCTTTTTGGGTCCCTATTATAATACGGGGCCTGATAAGGGGCCTAATTTAGGGGACCCAAATAGGGACCATAATTTTGACCCACCTATCTCCGCAGGAACCTCGCTGTGGCGGCAGCAGCAGCACTCCCAGCGAGTCTTCGTTGCCTCCTTGATGCAAAGTATGCAGTGATCACAGGGGGAGCTTTTAAGAAAGCTGTTATCCCTCTGTTTGGTTTTCCAGGCAAGATTTATTCCTAGTTGCTTCAGGCCCCCGCTATACAGAAGCCATGCTCATCAATTTGTAATTGATGCTCCCGAATGGGGCCTGAGAAGCCTTGAGTTTTAGGGCGTGCGAAATGGCAAGCTCCAAGACAAGGGATCTGTCTCGCAAATCCTAATTTGGACATTCGATCGTAGCTCCTCACTGCTTGCATGCCTGTTATGATGCTCACCGTAGAAAAAAACTCATCACTGCTGGTCTCGAGTCCGGCTGAGCGGGCTGTTGCCATCGGGCTATTAGGTGAAACAACAGGCCGCCAACAGCGAGTCCAGCCATTTCCAGCCACGCAAGACTTGGTACACGTGGGCGGACCCGAAGTCGGCAGATGCAGGAACCCGGCAGAACCGGAGGGATGGAGACCACAGGCGCAAAGCATGACGGACCCAACCGGGAGCCAATTATAGGCATGTGGTAGGGGATCGGGCAGACACCGCAAGACTGCGCGAACGTTCTCCCGCTGCAAAGTCATGGCCCGCATCTCATAGAGCTAGCTGGCCTGTACAGACATGACCTCCCGGGGCTGAGCAGCAGCTGCCTGGGCCACCGCCAGCTCAAGCCATGTTTTCAGAGCCGCGGGCCTCTCCCCGGCTTTCAACGACGCGGGGGGAAAATTGACTACCGAACCCTAAACCTCAAACGTCCCCACCACATAAAGGCTGCATCGTCCCAGTCATCCTGCACCTTTGTATCAGCGACTCCGGTTATAGGCAGTATCAACACCTTGTTCTAAACCCTAAGTAACAGGTGAGGGCTACTTCGATGGGCCCTACAAAGACGCAGCTCTCAACTTTTTTCCTCTCTGTTGCTCACCTACTTCCCAAGAACCAGAAGACTTCCAAAGGTCTTCGAAAACAAGACCCTCTCTTGCTTGCCTGTTCACAAACAATAACTTCGCAAGTGCTAAATCTGTCCTTCTCCACAAGCTTGTGACCTTTCTCCTGGCCAAGGCAAGGGAAGATGACAAGATAGCTGCGATCTCTACTTGGGAAACCCACCCAAAACTTGTTCGCAGGCTCTGGGCCATGTTGACTAACCCAGGTGGCAATGCCTACAATTGAAAGTGTTATGCGGTGCTAACATGCTGTTAAACAAAAGAACTTCGCAGGTATCTGATTTCTGCAATACATGTGCATTTTCGTGGCTGTAAGAGAATATCTAGAATGTGCCCCGAAGACGGCGGTAGTCACTGCATCTGCTACTCCTGCGCTGTGAGGTTCTCAATTCCCTGCAGTCAGAAAGCCTTGCCTGAACCCTGAAGCCAGAAGCAATGCGTGTCTGCACAGAAGCACAAGCTGAACATAATACTGCTAGTTGTATTGGAACCTGGCAGATCTTCAGCTGCTCGAAAGACTCGAATGTGTTGAAGCAGTTCCTCGTTGTTGGAAGATGAGATTGAGTGAGCCGAAGGAGCAAGGTCCAAGGGGCCAAAACCATGCTGGACTTCATTCAGGCTTGGTCGCACTTATTCTTTGGGGTATCTGAACCTCTTCCCTAACCAAGAAAGGTTTCCTTCCATCTGATTTCTGAAGCTTGTCTGCACTTAAGTCGCTTGCTTCGAGTCTTGGGGTCCTCTTCCTTCAGTGGAAATAGAACTCCCTCTAGGAATGAAAGAAAAGGCTGGGAGACGACCTTTAACATGTGCCACACGCATGGCAATCTACTTTCCTAAGGGCCCATCATGCGGATGTCAATGATGGCTTGGGGCAGAGGGGTTTTCTGAGATCATTGAGATGTGATTTATGTATGGAATCGTGAAGGAGTTGGGATCTCTCTGATGTGGGGATTGTGCTTTTTGCAGGAAATTGTGCAACATAATCTTAAGGAAGTTTAAGTAGGATGAGG